ATTGCTCTCAGCCCAGGTTTGTAGGAAGTTGGCAACCACTTGGGTCAGCATTACATCACAGCCATACCCATTTTTCTTGGCTTGGCTTTGATCCCATATGTGTTTGGAAGGGAAAGCGTGCCCTCCAGTGCAGAATGCACGATCCCTGGGTTGTTGCAGTATCTCATATCTTTTTGCCAGGAGATATGGTGACATACAGACCCCAGTGGCATCATGGGGGTATGCTAGGCAAATAAGCCACATTAGATTTGTTAGCACGAGTAGATGCTTCTAGTTTGCAAACCACTATACAAATGTGCAAAATGTGGGTACCTTTGCTCATATAGTACCCGCATTTAGATGAACACTGCTGAGAAGTAGCAAACATGAGCTGAAAATCATCTCCCATAGCATAAACATGGTAGTTGTTTAAATCAGTCTTTACTTGGAAGAATGCTCCATTTCTTATTATAGACTTTATGTCCAAGTTAATTAGTTTAGGACTGGAGTGCAGGAAACATACATGTTAACTTACTTGTAATATTTTTATTTAGTGGCTCCTCCAATGAAAAATTCAGCCAATTGAAGGATGTGAAAATAGGCCATCATACCATCCTTCTTGGCTTATACTTCTTCAGATTGCTGGTGAGAAGATGCCCAACGGTTCACAGTGTTAACGAATGCCAGAGTGCCTGTGGAAACACAGCACCTAAAGGCACAGTCTGAGAAGAAATTCTCCACGAAGTGCTAACTTACCATGGGTAGGGAACTTTTGAAGCATAGTGGAGTATTTAAATATGCAATTCCTTACCAGTAATCTGAAGTAGTAAGAATCGGGGCGGGTGGGGGTGTATTCCGTATGCTGTTTCTGTGCATGGAACTGAGTTTTGCATCAGCAGTTTCTGACCACATAAGACAACATCAAGCTGTGTATGATTGAAGTCACCCTGTAATCTTCAAAACATTCCTTTTTGTGCTTTGGCAGGTAAAGTAAATGGATTTTCTTTAGAAATGTATTTGTTTCATCTTCAGACTGACCATTATTTTAACAGCATGCATTCATGGAGTGATGATTACATGAAATCAGCATGAAAAGTGAATTTCCTGTCATTCATAAATAATGATATAATGCAACATGGTTTAGTTTTTAACACAATGCACAACATGATGGCAACAAACCAATATTCCTTGTAGAGCATTCCGCTTAAAATCATTGTGGCACATCTTTAAAATTTAATTGGCGTGAGCAATGTTCTGCTCTGAAGCTCTGTCTTTCTCTGTTGGCTTTTTGACAGAAAAAGAAATGAAGGAGGGATATGCTTTAAGAGAAAGTGATGCTTCAAATATGCACAGTTCTAATGCTGTTGCAGTTAATGATTTACTACCAATTGCTAACCCACCCCCTGCCCCTGCCCCTGCCCCTTCCCCCTGCATCATATAATTTATATATATATTTGACTAAACTGGTTGAGGTTGGGTAATAAGAGGCATTTTGTTCCATACCTAGCTTGCATCCTCCCTCCCCAGTGTTCTTTTTTCATATATATGAAGTAAATCTTGCAGGCACCTCCTATGCTGTGTTCAGACAGTTCATTTTTATGTATTTTACCTATTATAGTTGCCTAGCACAAATATCGCTCCATCACTCTGTCTATACACAGTAAAATATTTTATACCAATTGAAACAGGTATTTTTACTATCACTCAAACATTGTGTTTACATGGGACAGTAAGCTTGACTCCTTCCACTTATGCAACCGACTAAGGGTGCAATGTCTGTCCCTTAGGTTTGCAACTCCTAGTATTCCCTAGCCAATGTGTTGGGCTGGGAGATGCTGGAATTTGTGGGGGGGGGTTCCCCTCTAAACACGCATAGGATTGTACTCAAATTACTAGTCCTCCGTTGTTTGGCATATTGTCCATTTGTTGTGTCCCTTACAATGCAGAATTGTGAGCCAGGGAATGTTCTTAGCTTTAGAATCATAGCTGGCTTAGGAACACCTCATCAGGAGCTCTGGTTTGCACGACTGAATACATGCACCATATACATTAATTTGGCCACTCATTCAAGTGGAAGAAACCAAGAAGGGTTGAACAGGTCAGGTGTGCCAACTCGCAGCTAGTTCAGAGCAATCCAGGATTGTCCATTAGCCTCACTTGCCATTCTGTACAAATGCAGCCTAAGGAAGGGAGTTGGAAAATAGCCAAATGTTTTGCATGTCTGGATGCTCACATTAAGCTCATGAGTAATGCAGATATTTTGCTGAGTAAAGGCATTGATCTCTGCCTTCTCATCCTTCCCATATACCTGTTTTAAACAACTTGGAACTGCTGAAAGAAAATGAGGTGCCTTCAAAATGAGAGGCCAGTGTCATGGATCCTGGCTCTTTTTTAAAACATGCTTTTGCAAACTCACATTTAGAGTTTATTAATATCACAAGAGGTGGTATTAATAGATGCTGCAAACTCAGAGACCTATACCAGAAATGTGTGCTTGCCACAGGATGGACTTTGTGTGTGTGTGTACCCTGAGAGGACAAAGTCACATGACTAGACTGACACCAGCACAGTGTCCTGACAATTGTGTCATTATGTCAGCACAAGGACATCTTCCCCCATTTCTAGCCATATATCCTCTGACACTGCAGAATTGCATGCACTGAAGCCTTTGCATGACCACGTAATACCAAACACTGCTCAAAGATATACTTGCTTCTCAGCACATTGGTTTAAAGCAGTCTTTGGACCTCGCTCGCTCTCCACAGGCTGCAGGGTTCATTAACCTTCATGTTAAGATGCTTCTGCATAGCAATTTAAATGCCTGTTTCAGAGCTTTACAGCCTTGTAGTCCAAATTTAGCTGATCTTGATCTCCATCAGTTCTTACCGTTAAAAGATACCAGCCCTGTTTGTGTGTAACTGTGAACTCAAACTTTGAAGAACTCCAGCTTATCGTGAGCAAGGCAGCCTGCCAAGTGGTTGCTGCTGCTACAGGCAGCTAAATAAACCACAGAACTTCCAACTGTGGTTTGCTTACTATGACATGCAGAACTCTTAATTTGTCTCTCCTGCAAAGTCGAAGTCCAACCCCATAGTTTATTGTTGGGTCATGACTCTGACTTGTTAGGAGAGAGATAATCAAAAGATCAAAAACATTTGAGTAAAGTGAGTGGATGCTGTCTGTCCTGTGTGATAAATGTAATCTGCCAAAAATCTAAAGAAGGCTCAAAGATACAGAAGTCCTTGTTTGTGTCTGATCATCCTAGTTTTGCTAGCTCTTGCACCTTTTTCAGTTTTACCTGGTCTACAAAATACAGCCAGCCAAAATGTATTATAAATTGAATTTGGGAATTTTTCTTGGAAAAAGAGGAAACATTATACACTTTTTCTGCATATCATGCTATATGAATCTATATGATAGTATGCCTGAAGGGGTTCTTGACTGAACTTTTGGGATCATGGTGGGACAGTATTGGCAGAAATTTATCTTTTGGATGTGTAGATTCCAAACAGTTCAGGACTTTATAGGTTCAAAATTGGCTCTCTTGGGTTTAATAGCCAAAGAACGTTGCATTTGGCAACTTTGCAATTGCAGGTGGATACCATAAGCTCCTGACCTGTGCAGACCCAGTTCAGGCATCTTTTCTAATGAAACTAGGTTGCATGTAGATCCTGAGCAAAGGTAATGGGACACATTTTGGACTGGTCAGATAGAGGATTTCTCTCCCTAGTAGTTACGAAAGATAAAACCCAGACTTAATTAGAGACCCCCACTGGCATTCTAATTGTGAATTTGTCCAAGCATGCAATATTTGCGCTTAGTCGAGCTTCCCACCCAGCCACCCTCAACACGCACCCACACACACCCACACTATCCTGCCTTGCCTTTTTGTAATATATGGAGAGAAACCTGAAATCATGAAGCAGCTGTTTATATCACATATGCTGAAGGCGGTTCTTTGGCAGATGGAAAACACAGTCCTCCTGTGGCTTGGTGGAGTTTCCTGTCTTCCGGCAAGTCAGTGGCTCAGGTGGAGGTAATGAGGGAAGAGATGACTCATGCATATTTTTCTTCAATATAATTTCTGTTATGGGAAAACCATATATTTGCAGCTCTTAAAACGAGAGTTGTAGTTCTGTTCCTAATAGGATATACTTATCCACCTCTGTGGTTCCTTCACTCGCTGGTTGCAAGAGAGTCATGAGCATCGATTAGATCCTGGCATCACTAGCGGCACATATCTCTGATGCTGTGCAAATGTGATTAGAGCAGCCTTCCCAACCTTGTGCCTTTCAGACGCATTTGGACCGCAAAACCCAGAATTCCCAGTCAGTGGCCCAGAAGGCCACCAGGCTGGGGAGGGCTGCTCTTGGGAGGGCAGAGGGGCTTCTTCATGTTAAAGACTTAAGTTCCTCTCAGTGAATCATGGGATTCCTCCAGCACAGGGCAACTCCCATCAGTCCTACAAGCTTGATCAGTGGCAAGGGATAGTGACAGCTGCAGTCTGACAATGTCTACATGGTCACAAGATGTCTGCTTAAACGTTTAAAAAAGAAATTTAGTCATACCCCTTAAAAAAGAACTTTCAATAAATAATCATAAGACTACTATTTTCTCCACAGCACTGCTGCCACTTTGCTATTCAATCTTGCTCCCCTTCTCTGCCTCTCACTGTCTGTCCATCATTTATTTATTAGACCTATATTCCATTTTTTTCCAACAAACTAAAAGTGGCTTACATAATTCTCCTACTCTCAATGTTATCCCCACAACAACAACCCTATGAGGTAGGTTGGGCTGAGAGTCTGTGGCCAAGGTTACCCAGTGAGCTTCATGGCTGAGCAGGGACTAGAATGTAGATCTCCTGAGTCTCAGTCCCGCACTCTTAACTACTACACCACACTGACTCTATATACATCGTCCACATATATACACAGACACATAATTATGACATGTAATTTTTTAAAACTCTGCGTGTGTTACCATTGCACTAAAGTTCATTTTATCTCCATCACGTACAGCTGAAATGAATAACCAGCGGGAAACATTGCAAAGAAAAAAGAATGCAATCTTAGTGGATGGTATAATTTTAAATGGCCCAGTAGCAGATTCAAGAGCAGGAGAGAAATTTGTGGAAGAGGCCAGCAAGATCGTGATGGAGGAGGTGATAAAGAAAGCTGCTGATTTAACAGAAAAGGTAGAAATCTCAGATGCAATACTTTTCTATATATAATTAACCGCAAACCTTAGCTTTTCTTGACACTTGAATTTTATTGCACTGAACTGGTGGCCAGTTTGTTCATAGTATGGGGTCTGTTTCAAAGATAACGTTAATCAGTTTAAACAACAACAGTGACTGTCCAGTAATTTATATTTTGTGCACATGGCTGAGAAGGATGTGCAGGCCTCGTTTCACAGATTACAGAAAAAGTTGAATTTGTAATAAGAGATGGTGCTTGCATGTTTTATAGTACTTACATCTTTGAATGCCTTGACCTTGGCAATAGCGAATCTGAACTTTAAGCTTTGTAGTGCAGAATCTCTTATTATGAGTGTTGCATTTCTATTATCTGGTTTTAATTTCAGTGAGACTTTTTAAAGCAACTTACTTGAGTCCAGTTGCAAAAGTAAAAGATAATGGGCCCTAAACTTAATGTAAAAATTTTGGAATGTTACAGCACCACTTTTATTCAAATCAGTATTTAAACTACTCAGTTGCATTTTACAGGGAACTCTGCAAACCCTGGTGAAGTTCAAGTTGTGTCTTCATCAACAGAGTTTCTTCGCACTGACCCGGTATTTTCCCGTATTTAGGTATGTGAATGGCAGCCTCCTGAAAAGCTGAAAACACTGCTCGATTTGGAATTGAAGGACACTGGAGAGACTCATCAGAAACTCTTGCAGTTTTGCCAGGATGTCATACATTTCAGCATCAAAACCAGTATGCATCTTACCTTAAATGTGACTTTATTTTCTGAGATACTATAGTGTTCCTCCAAGTAGGGTTTGTGGAGTGAGATTACTCCTGCTTTTATTCTGTGATGAACAAGATGGCAATTGATGGCAGGATGATCATCCTGATCATCTAGCCAGAAAGGCATATGTAACATTTGGATGTAGCAGGGAACTATTTTAAACAAAACAGAGTCTCCATGCCAAAGCCAGTATGCAGGGGCAGGAAAGGAATCCCACTGCTTATTCTCAGCTTCATAAACCATTAAGTACAATGCTGGGAATGCCTATCTCAAAAGGCTAGAGGGTTGGTCTACATATTACTCTCACTGTCATCCTTAGTATATTCTCATGGAGGAAAAAGCTGGGTAGCATTTGTAGGAACTGTCTCCAGTAGAGCAATGTCAGTAAAGCGAGACACAGAGCCAATATATGCTGGTTGTTGGGGGACATGTGTAGGAAGGTGCTTGTGCATTTGTATCTAGCCTTAGGCTTTCTAGAGGCTTCTGTGGGCCACTGTGCAAACAGAATGCTAGCCTGTCTGGGCCATTGGACTGATCCAGCATGAATCTTCTTATGGAATGCTAAATATATGGGGTGTCTTCTCTACAGCCCAGATGTAATGTGAAGGAGTTTTCCTCCCCACACCACCGATGGAGCACAAGGAGAAAATGGAGCACCTATCCAGTGGTACTTCTTCCTATGGAAGCAAGGGGAGCAATTTCCCAATTCTCTTGCATACTGGGGGCAATTGCCTTCCCAAAAAGTCCCTGGAAGGGTTAGGTGAATTTCACCTGCCCCACTTGGAATTTCTGGTCCCACACCTGGACCCTTAGCTGCTCTCTTCTTTAGTCTTTTTCAGCAGGATCTTCCTACCCAATTAAACTGGATGAAGCAATTTTTCCATTTCCTTGATTGGGTTGGAGGAGATCCTGCCCTGCTGAAATATGACTCCAAGGGGAGATCAACATACCTCCTATCCAGGATCTTTGAGCTAACAGGGTTATTGATGTGGGGTAAGTTCTCCTTTTTCCAATTTCTCTATTTCCTTGAATGGAGGAAAAAGTGGATATATTCTCACACCTACAAACATGGAAGGAAGGCTATTGCTGGCCCTGGCAGCCCATTTGTGGCCCTAGATGCATGTTCTATATGGCATTTCTTCTCAGGATGTTACAATTTTGGCAAATAATTTATTGGGCTACATTCCTGTAAAAGAGAAAAATAAATCATTGTATAAATATATTTTTATGAAGAAAGCAGGCTTCTAAAAATTGTATTACTGGAAAAAAGAGTCTAATGCACAGACAGAACACACAGCTAATGGCCATCTAATGATTCTAATCAATACTTGCAAAAATATCAGAGGTAATACTCTCGTGTTTGCAGTGGTGTTTTTAACATCTACAGAATGAATGTCCTAAAATTAATGAATGTGGTAGCCTTTGGATCTGATTCAAACTGGGTTTTATTGCAGAATGGCTAGATTGTTTTAATGTATTCTTCATTAATCATGCACTTCTAGCTAATGTGTAAGCACCTTAAGCTGGTAAGATAACAGACTCTGATATAATTTTAACTGTTCCTCATTTCTCATAGAGTTTTTTGTGTGCGTCTGAAAGGAGATGTACAAAGCAGCGGACTATAAGAAAGACATTTCCAGATTTCTTCTTGGATTTTTTTTAATGAAAGGCAGGCTATAAATGTCCCAAATAAATGTCCAGAGGTATTGGCTTCCTTAAAATACTGGAGAAGCTAAAAAACATTATGCATATTTGATAGCAGAGTAATGAAAGAAGAAACAAAAATATTTTGAAGTCAGTTATTGAATACTGTTTCCCCTGAGCCATATGTATTGGGCCATATATTACACTTCTAGTTTTCCCAAGTATTCTCATAATGTATGATGATCAGGATGGTAATAGCTGGTGTAATTTTGTCATTTCTGGAACAAAGCAAAGCCTTGGCAGAATGAAGCTTTGTAAACCAATAAATGAGGGAATGCAGTGCCGTTTATTGAAGTGAAACTATAGCTCATATCTTTGGAAATAATAACTTTATGTGCAGATGCAAAATACTTGGGTGGTGCATATCTAATATCCTACTGGGTAAATCCATCCCTTTGGTAAGTAGAAATTGAGTGCAAGTCATATGCAAAAATCAATATTTCAAATCGCCCATGTTTATAGGAGCACTATAGAGAGTTGAGGTTTCTCTTCGTAGTGAGAAAGGAATACAATAAACAAAATAAACAGAACACTGGTTTGGATCAGATTTATTTAGAAAAGACCTATTGAAAGCAATGGGAAGTATGTTTGTCATGACTAACGTAAGTCCCACTGACTTAAATGGATCTTGACTTGAAGGGGTCTGATTTGTGCATTTCCAGTGTTCACAGGCACTGAAGAGCTTCCTCTGAGTTTTTAAATGATCTGTTTAAACTTGTGAACATCCTGCTTCTGGCAGTGATGAGGGAAATGTGAGCGATCTCTAGATAAAAACCAGGGGGAAAGATGGCCATTGCTTTTCATGTACAACCTATGCTAATTAGACATCTCTTTTTTTATTGTTATTTACAGATCATCCAAGATTTTTTAATCAGTTGTATGCTGGAATTGATTATTACTCCTTAGCTGCTCGTTTCATCACGGAAGCGTTAAACCCAAGTGTGTGAGTGCATTTTTTAAAAAGAATCTGTTGAATTTGGAATACTGTTTCATATGGCAGGTCTCATTGCCTTTAGATTGCAATGTCCATTAACAACATGGATGTGGTGCATTTTTCAGATGTTGAATGAATTAAGTGTGCTTTCTTCTATTGTAAATGCCATATACGGTCTAAAGTAAAGTTGTAGATGGGAACTCTTTTATCTGACTGGTGAAGGGATTGGGTTCATTTCTCCCACAATACATCCTTCAAAGTTTATTGACATGGATTCTGAATCAGAAATGGAAGAGAAGGCGGAGTTGGAATTCAGAGATGAGATGGCAAGGCCTTTGGACCCAGAAAGAAGACTGAGAATCAGTCGGTTTCAAGTTGGGGAAATTCTCGGGAGCAAAATAGGATGGGAGTGTACGTAAGATCATCAGTCCAATTATATGGTGTCAGTTGAAGAGGGTAGATCAACTGAGAAATATCAGATGTTCTCAATGGTTGGCCCATATCCAGCATGATCCACCTTGAAGATGGAGTCAGCTCTTTTTGGTTTGGACAGCAGGACTATTATTCAATTTGAAATCATGAAACCAAATTTCCTTAATTGGCCAGCATTCTCATTTTGCTGTTATTGTTTGTTATTAACTTCTGCCAATACCAATAGTCTTTTTTTCTATCGTAAAACCATCCAAGCAGGTCAGCTTTAATGTAATAAAGACTTCAGTTAGCAAACCTTTTGTCCTGCTCTGCTTGGAAGGAAGGGGAGTAGACCGGCTTTAGACAATTAGAAAGGGACATTTTATTTCATTTTGTTCCTCATTTCCTTCTTGCCTTTTAAGTTAGAGGTGGACAATGTCAGGTCCAGGGGCCAAATCCAGCCTGCTGGAAACCCCACTTGGCCTTCCAAGATTCTAAAGATGGCCACGCTTCTTTCCTCCTACCACTAACATTTGATGATTACTGGCTTTCATATATTCCCTCCTCTTATACACACTCCTCTCCTAAAAGGATGAAATTCTTCTCGTTGCATCATTAGTGGCAGTAAAAGCTTTAAGCTAAAATGTGCTGGCATTGCTAGTATATTTGTTCTGTGCCATTTCCACCTCAGCCTTGACTATCACTAAAATGTGGTTCCTGGCAGCTTTGCTGAAATTAAGTTTGGCCTTTGCACTAACAGAAGTTCAGTGTCCTTGCTTTAGTCAGGTGACTCTTTCTGCTTGATATTCTCCCTCTGCACGGATCCTTTCCATGCACTTCTGAGCTGTTCTTGTACTGCTTTATGTCCATTTGTGGGTGGAAAACTTAAATTATTCATATGACCAGAAAAATGTGTTTAAGCACCTTTCTACAAGCTGGATATTGACTGCACAGGTTTAACCTGTGCATGTCAATGATCTCAAAGGTTTGTTTTATTCAAACGTAACTCCCATGAGAAGATGTCCAGTGGGACAGTCATGCTTGTGTACTGCATGTGGGAAGCTGCAATTTCAGGCTCCGACCATGCCTAGGCAGACTGCAGAGAAAATATTGTCCTGTGCCAACCGTTACGTATAATAAACATTGGCATGATCACGTGTCCCTTTCAGATAATTCAAGAACCAGTAGTCTTTAATATGAACTCTTTGTATGTGCATATGTGTTCACACCGGTTTTTGAGAGCGCACTTCTTGAATGCTATTTAGTGAAGGGGTCTATCTTTGGTTTCCTTTTGGGTTAGATGTTCATGTTTCAAAGGGAAGGGCTTTGTCCCTTTAAGAATGTTCAGGAGAAGGTGGCCCAACTTTTCTCATCACTGCAACTCTGTGATAGGAGAAGGTGACCCTGTGCCTGTGGAATGTCAGTCTTCAGAGCTTTTAAAGGAACTGAAGTCCTGCCACAGATGTTCGTAGCCATCCTGACTCTTATTCAAGAGCAACTTCCTCCAAACCAGTTATCACAGCTCAGTCTTGACTGTGTACTCTCTCATTTGAAACAGCAAAGCTCTCAAGTGGTAGCTGAACTCCACGAGCCACAAAATAGATGACTTCCCTCCTCCCTAGTGGCGAAGCCACTCAAGGCACACAAGGATACCTGTTTTCTGTGTCTCTCTGGACCTACAGTTAATTCTTGCTAAGACTGTAGAAGCTGGGAAGCAGGTGCAGGGTTGAGCTGCTGTATCAGTTCGTGTGGGGTTGGGAAGAGGAAATCACAAGGCGAACAGCCCTTGGTGGTACAGATATGTCAGGGCCTCTGGTGTGCAAAAGAGACTCGTTCCAATGTTATACATGCGTAGGAGTTAGATTTCTGGACTGTGGTACAAACCTGAAATGTGAGGCACATGCTGTGGAAGATCAATTAATCATGCCCCTCCCTCATGTATTGATGCCGGGTCTCACATTATGTTAATTGCATAGCATGCAGGTGGTAGTTAGCATTTTCCTTAATCTAGTGTAAGTGTGGTTTAGATTGTGACCACCATACACTGAGGGCGAGATTAAACAAGCTCCCAAATGGTTTATTTCTTGAAATCCCATGAGGATGAGGTCGGACTTAACAAAAAGTATGGGGGGAGCTCCATTGTCTCCAATAGAAACTTTTTTCCTTTTGTTAAACCTCCCTTGCCCCCCCTCCCCGCCCACAGGGGAATTTTGGCAAGCAAATTGAATGGGGAGGGGGGTTAATTCTACCCTTTCCTTTGGAATGGTCTTGATCTGAAATGAGGCTGCAAGTGCTTATGTCAGAGTCAAGAAAAAGCTAACTCTCAGTTACATGCCGTGCAATTAGTATAGCATGTATTTTAGCTCTTAGGAACCCTAGAAACAAATTTGTGAGGCTTGATACTTACGAAGAACAACAGAGATTAGAGAGTTTCATGTTCCTCATCGTGGCCTCTGTGCATCACACATATGGGTACTGCGCCTGCGCAGTGCCTGTGGCCGGAAGATTGATAGCTAATGGTTTGAAGGGAAAAACTCTGCTCCTCTCCCCCCTCACAGTATATATGGAGTGGAGTGTCCGCCATTTTCCAGTCTTTGCGACCGCAGTTCATTGTGCCTCGTGCCACTTTTGCTCTCGCTCTGACCATTTCTCGCCCTTCTAAACCTTTGTGTTTGTTCTTCTTCTAAGTTACAGACCCTGTTTTTCCATAGTTCTTGTTGTTTCTCTTGTTGTTCTCTAGTTTTTTCACTTTTTTTCTCTTTCTAAAAACAAAACAAAAAACAAAAAATATATTCTTACCCTCTGCACTATCTCCTCTATTTTCTCTTCTAACGATAGCGCAACGAACGGCTTTCCACAAGTGTGTGGAATGCGGGTCTAAAATGTCCCCGGCAGACCCGCATGACCTATGCCTCCCCTGCTTGGGGGAAGGGCATAGGGCAGACAAATGTTCTCATTGCCTGGCCTTCTCGAAGCAGGCCAGGAAGAATCATGAGAACCGTCTCCGGAGGCTTCTGTGGGACCGTGCACTCCTCCAATCGGACCCACTAGTCTCCCACCCTGCTCCAACCGCGGCTGTGGCTACCCGCCCAGCCCCACCTGCTCCACTGGCCTCTGCTTCCAGGGCTCCTCCCTCACACCCTTCTGATGAAGCTGCGTCTGCCTTGGGCGATTGGCCTGCTTCCTCACCTAGGAAGAAAAGTGAAAAACGGAAGCACCGTGGCTCTGATAAACCATCTGAGCACAAGAAGGCTAAGAGAGAGAAGGTGGGAAAGCCGCCTCGGAAATCTAAGAACCCGGAGCACTCTAAATGCCAAGACTTGGGTTTGTCTCACCCCACCGCTGTCGCAGTATTGACACTCCAGGAGGCTATGAGGGTTACCCCTCCTGGGTCCCCTCGTCGAGTGGGAGAACCAACATCGGAGCCTGTTCAAGCTCCGCTTAGGGAGTCAATCTCCGATGGGGAGATTTGAGATTCCCCGCCTAGGGCTAGGTCCCCCACACCTATGCCCCCAGCCAGACTGGATGCAGAGATGGAGATGTCTCCTCCTAGGAGCTGGAGAAGCCGCTCGTCTGAGAGAAGATCCGACGAGTGGTACCATCCTCAGTCTTCGTTCTACCATGGGTGGGGGGGACTACCATTCCATCAGACGTTACCTGGCTCCTAGGGATCATTCCTCTCCTCCAACTCCTCAAGACCATCCGACATCTTCAGTTCCGAGGCGCACCTCTGCGATACCAACCAGGGAGAGCAGCCAGTCCATGTCACCAGCGGAGTTTTCTTCTTCTGCCCTCCTTCATACTATGGGGTTGATTCTGACGAATCCAATGTCGACTCTACATCCCCGGACATTGCGGTGACTTCCCAGGGCCCTGGGTCCCCCAAAGAGTCTCACATCTTCGCAGAGCTGATGTTGCATCTGGTCCACTCGTTGGAAATCGATGCCATACTACGGCCTGGCCCAAGCACCGACAAATTTTATGACGTCGTTCGTGGGGAGCAGTCGATGTCGATAGTCTTGCTGCTTATCACCACCTTGTGACGAGCTATAATCCAGCTGTGGGAACTGCCTGCCCATCCACAACCAACTTCGAGGAGGTACGAAGCCATGTACTGGGTTCGGGAGGAGGACATTCCGTTCCTTCTCTGTCATCCGAAACCAAACTCGGTCATGGTGGAGTCCTCCCAGGGCAGGGAATCAAGGGGCCACACTGCGCCCCGAGATAAAGAAGGCAGGAAAATCGACTCCCTAGCCCGCCGAGTCTATGCTGCCTCTGGACTTGGCGTGAGGATTTCGAACTATGAGGTGACACTGGCTCGATACCAGTATTTCATAATGCAGCGCCTCAACAACGTTATGTCAACTCTCCCAGGCAACCAAGGCAACCTCGCGAAAGTCTTCATAAAAGAGGCCATGCAGGTCGCCGTCCAGCAGCTGTCCACTGCTCGCCATCACGTGGACACAGACTCCAGGGCCCTGGTCGGTGCTGTCTCCCTCCGGAGGCATGCGTGGCTACGCAATTGCAATTTCCTGGAGGAGACGAAGAGGCGCATAGAGGAGATGCCCTTTGACGGGTCCGGTCTTATTCATTCTGGAACCGACCACAAACTCAAGAAGATACATAAATCCAGGATGACGGCTTGACAGATGGAGCGTCAACCACAAACTCAATGTAAGTGGTCTTGGACCCGTCCATTGTACCGTCAACCATGCCAACCGAGGCAGCAACCGCCGCACCGACAACAGCAACAGCGCCGCCGCCGAGCCACCGCAATGCTACCAGCAAGGCCGTTGTTGCTTTGACGGCGACAGGAGGCAACGTTGATGGGACAAGCGAACCCTTCCTCTCCTCCCTAACCCACCCACCCCTCTCTCATTTGGGGACCAACTGAAAGGTCAACTCCCCATTTGGGAGTCCATCACATCTGATCGGTGGGTGTTGTCCATCATTCAGCATGGATATCGGATAGAATCTGACATCGTTCCTCCATCGAGCCCGATCCAGTTCACTCCATCCTCACCAGTACTGATCAACGAAGTTCAACAGCTTCTTCATAAAGGAGCGATTCGTCAATTAGCTCGAACAGAAGGACTCCACGGATTCTATTCGAGATATTTTACAGTCCCGAAGCGGGACGGTGGTTTTCGTCCAATACTTGACTTAAGGAATGTCAATAAGCTCATCACAACAGAAAAATTCAGGATGACCACCCTTCAAAACATCTTACCGTTGCTGAGGAGAGTGGACTGGTTTGCCTCATTGGACTTAAGGGACGCCTATTTCCACATTTCGATCCATCCGTGTCATAGGCGTTTCCTTCGTTTTGCTGTTGCGTCTGAAGTTTTCGAATTCACGGTGTTACCCTTTGGACTGGCTACTGCACCAAGGGTTTTTACAAAGTGCATGGCTGCTGTCTGTGCCTTCCTACGACTGCGAGGAGTTCAGGTTTACCCTTATCTTGATGATTGGTTGCTAGTCTCCCAAACCAGACAAGGACTTATTGCTGCGATACATACAACCTGTTCCCTGCTGCAAAATCTTGGACTTTGCATTAACACCGAGAAATCTTCTCTTGTTCCTGCACAGATGATCACTTTCATCAGAGCTCATCTAGATTCCATGATGGCAAGAGCATTCCTCCCACAGGACAGACAGCAAGCTCTTGCTCAACACATCCATCAAATGCGATGAGACAGGACCGTTCCTGCCAGGTCCATCCAGAGTCTCTTGGGGCATATGGCTGTGTCAGTTGCTGTTGTCCCATATGCCAGACTTCGACTTCATCCTCTCCAGCTTTTCTTCAACAAAGTGTTCCGACCGCAAAGAGACTTGCCGACAAAATTACTTTGGATCCCATCTTCTGTTCTTCACTCTCTACTTTGGTGGACGATTCTGGTCAATCTAAACGTGGGGGTACCTTTCCGACCCCGATGCCCTTCGATGACTCTTGGTACCAATGCATCCTTACTGGGCTGGGGAGCAGTATGTTCCAACCTACACACTCAAGGCGTATGGAATCGACAAGAATCCAGGAATCATATCAATTTCCTAGAACTCCTGGCAGTATTCAAGGCTCTACGCTCGTTCGAGGACGTTCTTCAGGACTGAGTAGTTCAGATAACCTCAGACAACATCGCTACAGTCTTTTATCTGAACAAACAAGGAGGGACGAAGTCACCAATGTTAGCACAGCTCTCGATGCAAATCTGGGAGTGGTGCATTCCAAGAGACAGTACTCCGGTAGCAGTACACCTTGTGGGTACGGACAGTGTGGAAGCTGATCTTTTAAGCAGGGACATGTCCACATCTCATGAGTGGGAACTGGATCGTATGCGACCAACTGTTCAGTCATTGGGGCCAGCCAGACATAGACTTATTCGCTACCCAACAGAACAGGGTATGCAAAATGTTCTGCTTGAGAGCGGGAATTGGACAGGGGTCGACAGGGGATGCCTTTATGATCCCCTGGAACAATATGAACTTTTACGCTTTCCCTCCGATTCCCCTCATTATGAGAGTAATATCGAAGATAATCCACAACAGGGCCACAGAACTACTAATAACTCCATGGTGGCCATGCCAAGCTTGGTTCTCGACTCTTCTGTATATCTCTCAAGAGGAATACCTTCAACTTCCATCCATTCCATACCTCATAACTCAGCGACAGGGCACAATTCGCCACCCGGACTTAACATCGTTGAAGTTGACAGCATGGCGAATTCGATAACAGCCGATACTAACTCGGTACCGATGTCGTCAGCATTTCCTAGGGATCCCATCCTCGGATCCGACATGTTACTTCACACTTCGACTCCTTCTGCACCCTCTGCACCCTCGGATCTATCAAATGTTTCGTCAAGTCTGACACTTTTCACCCAGACATTCAGCGCATTCTTGATTCTGCGCTAAGGCCATCAACTCGAAAGTCATATGCGGCCAAGTGGAGGCAATTCTCTGTCTTTGCGGAGTCACACTCCTTTCTTCCACCATCAGCATCCATCGACCATATTCTCCAGTTTCTCCTGGAACTTTACCATTCTGGACTGAAACCGTCATCCATTAAAGTGTACACGGCAGCAGTTTCCTATTACCGTGGTACAATTCAAGGTTTCTCCATTTTCTCCCAACCATTGATAAAGAGATTCCTTAAAGGACTTCATAACCTTCATCTGACGGTCAGACCGGTTATGCCTACCTGGAGTCTTTCAGTGGTCTTACAAGCACTAACAAGAGCTCCCTTCGAACCTTTGGCAACGATCGATTTACGTCTTCTTTCTTGGAAAAGAAAGCATTCCTTGTAGCAGTTACGTCAGCTCGGAGAGCTAGCGAGCTCTGCGCCCTCAGGGTAGACCCTCCGTATTTGAATTTTCATAGGAAGAAAGTAGTTTTACAAATGGATCCATCCTTTCTTCCTAAAGTGGCTACCCCCTTCCATATGGGTCAAGACATTGTTCTACCTTCCATCTCCATCGAATCCGATTGAGAGATCTTTACACACACTTGACGTACAGCGCTGCCTAGCCTTCTATAGATCTAGAACTGAGTTATTTCGACATTCCGACAGGCTCTTCGTTAAGTACTCTGAACAAAATCAGGGTGTTCTGGTTACCCCTCAGAGACTCTCCAAATGGATAGTCCACACCATTACTCTCTCCTATCAGTTGGCTAAGATAGACTTGCCTACAACCCCGAGAGGACATTCTACTAGAGCTGCAGCTGCTTCTTCAGCCTTTGTGTCGGGAGTTCCACTTGATGATGTCTGTAGGGCGGCCACTTGGGCCACTCCTTGTACATTTGCAAAACATTACTGGCAGGATGTCCGGGCTAGACAAGACTGTTCCTTTAGCAGAGCCATTCTTTCAGCTGTTCTTCGTTGATGACACCTCCCTTCTCCAGTCAGGGTAAGCTTGCTACTCTGCACTGAGGCCACAACAAAGAAAAGCAGGTTGCTTACCAGTAACTGATGTTCTTTGAGTGGCCATCTCTGCAGACACCACCCGCCCGCCATCCCTGCTTGGTGTCAATGGGTGGTGCTCTTTTCGGTACCGTGTTATTTTTTTGCCATCGGTACCTAGTCAGTATGCTTCTCTCTTGTAGTTGATTCAACAACGTAAATTACTTAGTTACAATTTATTTTTTAGAGAGCGAACGTCCGGTCTGTCAAAGACTGGAAAATGGCGGACACTCCGCTCCATATATACTGCAAGGGGGGAGGGGAGCAGAGTTTTTCCCGCCAAACTGTTAGCTATCAATCTTCCGGCCACAGGCACTGCGTAGGCGCAGTACCCATATGTGTGATTGCACAGATGGCCACTTGAAGAACATCAGTTACAGGTAAGCGACTTGCTTTTCCAGCTCACATTTCATCTTTTCATACCACTCCCAGAGTGACCTGTCTCTCTTATAGTTCATTGTAGAATCTTGGGTGGGCTTGACCGTAATTGTCCAGGGGATAGGAGAAATACTGGCTATAGTCAGCAAAGGGATCCATCATGCAGCCACGGCACTGCACTTATATTGATGCTGTATCACCCACGCTCCCTTCTCTGTTCAGTTTTCTTCAATAGTTTTGATCAAAGTCTAGCTCAGATGATTGCCTTTGATGTCACGTCTCTGTTTATTCAGGTACACCTATGAAGTGTCCCCTGTGTTTTTGCTAGTGGAAGAAGCTGTTCTAAAGAAAATGATTGAATTTATTGGATGGGAGGAAGGTGATGGTATATTTAATCCAGGTAAGAAGGGTTTTCTCAGAGCGGGTCGGGGCGGGGGGGGGGGGGGGCTTCCTATCTTCATTCCAATTTAAGTTTGTGTTGTACTAATCATTCTAGTACGGTGGGTTGGAGCCAATCAATTATGAATGGTTCAGTAGTTCTCCTTAGGTAATGACTACATAGAAGCTGCTGTACTTTAGGCAGGTCCTCACCACTCCTCTTGTGGCTTCTAGTGGGGTGTAAATTGGATATATTATATAGCCTATGTAAGAGTTCCTTCTAGAAACCTGATTGGCCTGGTGTCTTCCTCATGGTCTCTGTGACTTGTACAGAACACTCTTCAGTACATTCTAGATCTCAGTAGAGCTTTTTGGCAGGAGTTTTGCCCCCTCCTCTGTGCATGCTGCTCCCTGTTCTTTTCTTTCCAATGCAGTAAGAACCGCACTTTGGAAAAGTCTGTGCCTCAGAATAAAAATAAAAAAATAAAAAAAATAAAGCTCTCTCTTCCCATTCACCTTCTTGCTACTCTCTTTGTCCTCTAAGACACTTGCTTTCTTCTTAAGGCACTTCCTTTCTTCTTCACTCTATCTATCCAAGGCTTTCCTCCTTTATCCCTTTCACCTGCAGGGAAGCTTGGCCTCCAAGACCCTCCTCCTCAAAAAACAAAAATAAAAATACACACTCACTGCAGCAGGAAAACCCCATCATTTGACAGACACGGAGTGTGCCTTCTGCGTCTCAGAGAGGCCCATAGAGAAGTCCTTTGTCTCCATTGCAAGTGTTTTATTAACATGCTGGAAGGAATGGATTGGCATACCTCCACACCCTCCTTTGGGAGCAAGCCTTGAAAGCTTCAGACTCAGCCACACAAAATTGGCCACTACATACACCCCAGTATCTTTCTGCCGGCAGCCACCTCCCTCCTTCTCCTCATATTTTGGGTATATGTGATTCAGCCTCCCCCTTCATTCAGCTTCTTCATGTCTGATACCAACACTGTTGGCTATCCCTCAGCCTTTTAACTCAAGAGTGGTCTCTTTGGGTGTGCCCACAGTCAGTACTGAACAGGTCAAACTGACCGAATCCTGTTCCATGTGCCTCACCATGGGAAAGACTTTGGGACAAAAATTAACAAGGAAAATTTATTCCTTTGACTTGAGTCCAGTGTCAAACCTGGTTCAAGCAAAGATAATCCCCTGATGCTGCAGCCACTCCCTTGCACACTGACTATCCTCCAACCAGATCGGAAGCAAGACTGAAATGAACCTAGATACTCATCCAGGAGTCCCTGGAGTTGCAAAGCCACCACTTACTCTTGCACTGTGCCCCAAAAGGAATACTGGAGACTGGTTGATAATTACGCAACACAGTGAGATTTGCTGGGGTGAAGGAGGCTTTCAGCATGGATCTCACCACTACCTCCTTCAAGCAGAATGACCTGCTGCCATGACTAAAGGAGGCGTTAGCCACACTCCATACCACTTTGGTCAGTGCCCTTTTGGTTGCTTTTAGGCACCAGAAATTCTCCCAGTTCTGTCTCAAAGCAGGTCACAAACTGTGGTTTCTAGGAGAATCCTTCATTTATTGGGTTTCTTGCCTGACTTATGCCTTTCCTCCCTTTCCAATGATCACAGAGGTAGTGGGCAAGATGCGAGACACCAAGGCAAAGTGCAGATTGATCACCACTTGGTTGTCTCAACACCTTTTGGTTGCTCCACTCTTCTTCCCCTTCTACCACACATTCCTCCACCCTCAGACCAGGCCTCATCTTGATGAGCAACATGCAGATCAGACACCCAGATCTGTCATCCCTTTGCCTCATGCAGGTGTTAGAAATATTGAAGGCTTTCTGCAAGCTTTCCACTTGTTTGTCCTATGAATTCAACTTGCATTCAAATATGAACAACCCAGTTTCCTCTGACATACCAATCATCTTCAACTATCACTTAAAACATGGGATTTAGCTCTTTCATCCATCAGAATATATATATACCTAGTGGCAATATTGGCCTACCATGATACCATCAATGGACAATCCAGGTTTGTACAACCCTGCATGAACCAGTTCCTTAATGGCTTAGGAACCCTTTAACCCCCATCCACAGTTCCAGCCCCTTATTTGTTGTACTAACAGCAAAACCATGTAAGCCATTAGCCACAGTGGACGTCTGCCTCCTAACCCTGAAAACCACATATCTTGGTTGTTTGAACCTCTGCTTGTACAGCCTCTGAACTCTGCTGCTTTATGATATGCTCCACCTTTCCTCGTCTTTAATTCATTTCTGTATTGCCCTGCAGCTGAAGCTGTCTTCTATAAGGATAAGTTGGTTCTTAAACAAAATTGCTCTGTTCTTCCTATGGTGTTTCCCCAGTTTCTCTTAGACCAGGTCATAATTCTACTGGTTTTCTTCCCCAGCCAACCTCTCAGCTGGAAACTAAACTCTATTCACTTGACATTTGAAGGACCCTTCCCTTCTGTGTAAAATGTGCATCATCCTTTTGAAAAACCACTCCCCTGTTTGTATGCTACATTGGACCAGGAAAAGCCTACCTAATGCCCTCTCCAAGCTTTGACAAGTAGGTCACATCAACCATTCATTTGGCTTACCAACTGGCTCACTAACCATGCTCTCTCCAAGTGCAGGGGCACTCTATAAGGGCAGTAACCTCTTCGTCTGTATTCCCCAGAGGAATACCAGTGCCACAGCTTTGCACCTTGCACCTGAGCCCAGCCATCTATTGTCATCAAGCACTTTTGCTTAGGTCAAAGCTGGGAAGATCACATCCTTTGGCAAAGCAGTTCTTTCCTTAATACCTGTATGTAACTCCTTCTACCAGGAGGTTCTTAGTTTTATAGTTACCCATATAAGTGAGTCACAGAGACCATGAGAAGGATAGTTGTTTAATGCAACTGTAGATCTTTGAGTGTTTGTCTGTACAGTCATATAAGCTGCCCTACTCACTATTAGATGCCTTGCAATCTCTCTGCTGCTATGGTGGATGCGGAACTGAGGGGCAGCTGGGGGCCATGCCTGGTGCATGGAATAGACTCCCACCAAAAAGCTCTGCCTAGCTCTGGAGTGCTCAGAAGATTGTTCTGTGCAGGCATATAATCCATGTGTGTGAATGAGCACTCAACACTCAAAGTTACAGGTAAGCAGCCTGTCCTTCTGCGCAGTTCAAATGGGCTTCTTTTCTGCATGTGATTCCTCAAATAAGCATCCATATCCATTGGAGTATAAAGCTAACCAAAACCCTATGTTTGCTTATTTAATTTTAATATGCTTGTCACATTTTTAACCCATCATGGACAGTTTTTCTTTTCTTGTTACCTTTGGAATAAAAACAGTGTTTTGAGAAAATAGCTCAAAGTGGATGATTTTCCTAGGTAATCCTTTTGCTAACGATGTTTCATAGAACAAATGTCTAAGCTGAACCAATGGGGCACATTTACATTTTGGAAATCGAAATCTTACGAGTAAGTTAATAAATATATAATGTGTATTTTTTTTAAAGGTGGCTCTGTTTCTAATATGTATGCGATGAACTTGGCAAGATACAAATACTTCCCTGACATAAAGGAAAGGGGGCTTTCAGGGATGCCACGACTAGTTCTGTTTACATCAGAAGAGGTAATGAAACTTTCTTTCTTGTAACTATGCAGAAATGATGTGATTATATTATTGAAAGACATATCTGTAGTATAGAAAATCAAAGCTGGCAGACAAAGTGGACTCCAAAGGTCTACTGGCAATGTCATTCCTGAGGTTTTGAGCCAGGGCTGATTCAGTTGTCAAGGTTTACAAGAAGTATACAAAATCCAGTTGGATGTTCTGTTTTTGTGCTGTTCCAAACGGATGGAGTAGCTGATACACTTATTTAGGCTGTTGGACAGCACACTCCTTGCTTTGTTTCCATATAGGTTGGACACAAGTCAGACCCACTTTAAGAAAGCTGTTGACTGTGGAGGAGAAATATGCTGTTTGGAATGAAAGCAGAACCTCTTCACATCCATTTTGCTCTTAAAAAATAATAATGCTAATAACAGAAAACAAAATCTGTTCTGTACTTAAAGAGGGCTTGTTTTCTCAGTTATTAGCCTACACTGAATTTATAATGAAAAATAACATCACTCTAAGAGCAATGAGGGCTTGTTTTCAATTGTTTGTCAAGAGAGTACATACAATCCAGAAACAAATACTTTGTTTAGGATTTCTGGTTTGAGATATAACTGAAATGGTGTGTTCTGCACTCTGATGATGGCATTTAACTGGTACTTTGTAGTATATCTGCACTACGCACAGCATATTTTCAGTGTCTACTTCAGTATCCCATGTAGATGAGATGAATGACTCTTTTTTTCTCTCTAGTCAGTAAATTTGGATGACCTTGGCCAGGTACACATGTAATAATGAATCAGGGTATGTTGTTCTAAAACAGTGGTCCTCAAACTTTTTCAACAGGGGGCCAGTTGAAAGGCAGCAGTGGTGGGCGTGGGCTGGCGGGGTCGGGGCAGCAGGCACCCATGCGGCACGGCAGCGGCTCGCTCGCTCAGAGATCGTTTTCTCCGAGCAAGTCCAAAACCTCTGAGGTGGCCAGATGAATGGGCATGGCGGGCCGTAGTTTGAGGACCCATGTTCTAAAACATCTTTGCCCAAGCCGTGAGTTGCATATGTCTCCTCTCCTCCTTTCAGATCCCAGTGCTTTCCAGAAGTTTTGGGCCACAGCTCCCAGGCCATTGGCCTCGGGGACTGGGTCTGATGGAGCCAAGGTCAGGGGATCCTGAGGTGTCAAGTGAAACCTTCTGCTTTAGTACTAATTACTGTTCTTCTTCATGGTCTCTGTGCATCACACATAATGGGTACTGCGCCTGCACAGAGCCTGTTGCTGGCCAGAATACCCAAGCTGCAACAGTTTTTGGCGGGAACTCCTCCCCCCTCCCCCCGGTGCTATATAAGGAGGAGCGCCCGCCATTTTCCTCAGTCTTCTTTCGACCACTAATCACATTGCCTCGAGCCATTACCTTGTCTTCTCGTATCTGCTTGTTCTAAATCATTTTTCTTACCCAGTTGAATCCAAGTTACTTCTTGTTTCCAGTTAATTCTTTCCTCTAGCTCTTCTATATATATAGATAGATAGATAGATAGATAGATAGATACATAGTTAGTATATTTCTTCTCTTTCTTCTCTTTACCTTGCTATCCCTTCGGCGATGGCTCAGCGCGCGGCGTTTCGAAAGTGTTCGAAATGCGGGGCTAAAATGTCCCCGGCGGACCCTCATGAGCTCTGCCTCCTTTGTTTAGGACAAGGGCATCGCATGGATAAGTGATGGATAAGTGCAGACATTGCCTGGCCTTTACCAAACAGGCCAGGAAAAATAGAGAGAACAGGCTGAGAAAGGTCCCCTGGGATCAAGCCTTGCAGGCCTCTGATGAGCTTGCCGCTCAATCTATGTCATCTGGGCCTTCCATGGTAACCTCCCCTCGACCATCCGGGGGAGTGGCTTCCGGGGAGATCTCTCGCTCCTCCCACTCCTTGCGCAAACAAAAGGAGAAGCGGAAGCATTCCGACCATGGGGATCTGTCGGTCCTGAAAAAGGCCAAAAAGGACAAGTCAGGCAAGGCTACTAAGAAGCACAGATTCGCTCCGGAACCGCAAAGGGACTCGGACCTGACCATCTTACCAGTCCCGACGGCACCTTCGGTCCCGACAGCCTCGGCACCGACAGAAATTATGCAAGTCACGCCACCGGGATACCAACAGGGGATTGAGCCTGTGGACCCGATTATGCTACATCCACCTGAACCAATTGTTCACGGGTTGATGTCCGACGGGGAGATTCGTGATTCCCCCCCGAGGTCCTTGCCATGCCGCTAACTGCCCCATTCACCGTACCCGATGCCATCCTCCCCGGAGCCTTCCAGGAGGACTACGGTGATCAAACCTGACAGACAACGGCGTTCATCGGGACAATCCACTAGGTCATGGATTCCAATGCCGTATGAAGGACCAGAGGCATCTCAGCCTCAATACTGGGGCCACCTCTCTTCGGCTATTAAGTGCCTAGGGATGACGGCTGTCAGTCCTGACAATCCAGAGAGAAGGCTCCATCTACCTCGGCCCCGACAACCTCCAGGCCGATCGTATGAGGCGAAATGGAAACGCTTTACCGCGTTTGCAGAAGCGAATCATTTTACCCCAGAATTAGCTTCCATTGATAATATCCTCCACTTTCTGCTTTCTCTACATTAATTGGGACTTAAACCTATGTCGATTAAAGTCTATGTTGCAGCTATATCACACTTCCGTGGTTCCCTTTTGAGTTCATCTGTGTTCTCCCACACACTCATCCATCGATTCTTTAAGGGGCTGCACAATCTCCACCCTCCAATCTGACCATCGGTACTGACTTGAAGTCTGTCTGTAGTCCTCCATGCACTCACTAGAGTTCCCTTCGAACCTCTTGTGACAACGGACCTGAGACTGCTGTCTTGGAAAATAGCCTTCTTGGTCGCCATAACATCAGCGAGAAGGGCACGTGAACTATCTCCCCTCCTTGTGGATCCACCATATCTTAATTTCCATGAAGAGAAAGTAGTGCTCCATACTGATCCGGCATTCCTTCCCAGGGTGGCCACACCGTTCCACATCAACCAGGACATTGTGCTTCCAGCATTCTTCCCGTCCCCATCCACACCAATTGCACCTCTTTCTGCACAGAGACTATCAAAATGGATAGTCCAGACTATTGAACTGGCTTATAAACTGACGAAAATGGACCTTCCTGTGACGCCCAGGGGCCACTCCACTAGGGCCATGGCAGCCTCGTCAGCCTTCTTGTCGGGCATTCCACTGCTGGATATCTGTAAGGCGGCTACATGGACAACTCCTTGTACCTTTACCAAACACTACAGGCTCGATGTCCGGGCCAGACAGGACTGGACAGGCCGTCCTATCATCCATCCTTCACTGACGACACCGATCCACCTCCGGTGAGTGAAGCTTGTTAATCACCCATTATGTGTGATGCACAGAGACCATGAAGAAGAAAGTCAGGTTACTTACCTGTAACTGTCGTTCTTCAAGTGGTCATCTGTGCAGTCACACAACCCGCCCTCCAGCCCCACTCGGTGTCGAGGGACGGGATAGTAGTCTTTCTTTCTATTGACTTCTCTGATGAGTGGTACGCTCCGTAGGGGGTGATCTGCTGGTCTCCAGAGACTGAGGAAAATGGCGGGCGCTCCGCCTTATATAGCAGCAGGGGGGAGGGATGCGGAGTTCCCGCCAAAAATTGTTGCAGCTTGGGTATTCTGGCCAGTAACAGGCTCTGCACAGGCGCAGTATCCATTATGTGTGACTGCACAGATGACCACTCGAAGAACGACAGTTACAGGTTAGTAACCTGACTTTCTCTGTAACATCTGCACTGTGGTTCATTAAAGTATGATTGGAGTATGGGGCAACATACAAATGCAAAAATAAATAAACAAATGCAGCTGGAACAAGCCATAGTTTTAAAGCCTGAATTTTCACCTGCTGCTACTTATATGCAGCTGTTGGCAAGAGAGATGATTCAGTGGCTTGCCTTTGTTTACCACTTTGTGGATTTAGCTGATGTATTATTTTTGGCACCCAGAGAAGGTTGACATTTTCCCAGTGATTCAATGTCACACGCTTTTCATTTGAGCGTAATAGGTGACTGTTAGCCTGCTAATAAGGAGCTATTTTGTAAGAATCACTTGCAATTCAAATGAAACTCTGCTGCCAGGGTCCAGATCTCCAGTGAATGCTACACTGCAGCTCTGCACACATATTTCATTATTGATGTAATTCAATGTAACAGAAGATTAATTATCTACCTATGTAAGTTATTATTCACACAACAGTCTGAGTGAATGTATTCAAAAGACTTTGTGAATGTGTCATGTTAGAAAAGATTGGCTGATGGCAGATGATAGTGTATTCCGTTCATCTAGTTAAACGGAGAAAGAAGATTTCCTTGTCAGGAAGGGGGAGCACTCTTTTGAGGTGATCCATTTAAAAAAATGTGTGACAGGCGTGAATGCCTTTAATATATTCATGCCCACACATTAAAGTTCTGTAGATTTTTCATAATTACGTTCCTCTGTAACAGCGTTTGTGTGAACTCTTTGGAAGAAAACTGAATTAATTAACCACCTGGTTTCACCTGCTGTATGCAAAGGAACAATTTAAGGGTTTATTCATGGTTGTTGGCAAATATATTAATTTAACCCCTCAAGAACACAAAGAGTTGCTCAGGTTTCCTGTTATTTTCCCAAGAAGAATATTTATTACTCTCCTAAAATAATCACTCAGTTCTTGAAGGCTTTCCTTGCCATGTGTTGAACATTCAGGAGCTCTACTAAATTGTGTAGCACCCAGGATTCACTGCGAAGTCAGAGATAAACAATAGAGTATGTGAAGCTATTTGGAGGTTTCACTCACCACATTATTCATATTAAGTTACAACTATTGGGGCCAGTTCAGTTGTTTTATTTTTCCTGTCATAGGATCAGCCCTCCAACTGCCCCATTTGGTCTACGGAAACATAATATATGTGCGCCTACAGATTTTTCTTCCACCAGCAGATGACTTCTAGAGTCAATCCGGAGACTGCTGTTATGAATGGTGGGGAGGGGCTGGCAGTTTAGTTACACTATCAGTCCACACCACATGTTTTTATGGGTACTCAAGCATGTGAGAAGTCAGAGGCTCCATGCTCCTGTTTTGAAAACAAATGTGGAGATAGGGCCACAAATTTCCAAGCGTGCTTGCATATTTTTCTGACCAAGTTTGCACTGTGGATCTTTGCAAATGCAGTATCCTGTTCCAGCAGTCAGGGCTGAGTGAGCCCCTCTCTGTTCTTATTCCCCAGCCAAAGTGCATAGTACACAAGCCTGGCCAAGTTATTTTGTCTCCCAAAGCAGAGAGCCACACAATTCCTTGTTTTCTCCCTGTTGCTGAAATACAGAAGCAATCAAGTAACCAGTAATTTGGTATCTTTTCATGGGTACCAAGACAGGTACCCAAAGTGATCACTTCATCTTGCATAATGGTAGAGCTGGCCTTGCTAGCATCCAAAAAATGTAATGTGGAAACAGCTGTCAGCTAAAGCTTCCAGGTTGAAATCGAAAGCTTCCAGGTTGAGCAAGTTCTTGTGCTCTTCCAGGTTAAGAGCACAAGAACTGCCTTTCTGGCTGAGATCAAGAGCCATCTCGTACAACAGTCTCTTTGTAACAAATTCAGCCAAGTGCTGATGGAAACTCCCAAGCAAGAAGATGCTTATATCCTGTTTGTCCTCAACATGCACTACTTTAAATAAAGAATATTCTTAGCTATTGTGGCTAGTAGGTGTTGAAAGGTCTACCTTCTACAATAACTTTCCCTGACCTGGTGTCTTCCAGATCTTGGAATTTTCACCCCCTGTTTGGATCCAGCTGTGTAGAATATAGAAAAGCAGTCTTGGAACATTTCTCTCTCTCTCATTGATTTGTAAACCACTCTAGGAGCCTTTTTGGCTAAAGAGTGAGGTAAAACAGCTTAAATAAATATAACTTAAGTTTCACTGATTTCAGTATGACTGAATCTGAATCCAGGCCAGTGTAACATTACTACTCAGAGGTGACTACTTTTAGTGAGATTCACTGAACAGAGAATAGAAATTCTATTTAACTTTCATGGCTATGAGCTGTTAAAAGGCTTGTCTTGTTACCCAACAAGCCAGTCATGGCTTGTTTTTACCACCTGTTTCCCTAGGTCAAAACTGATATTACTTCTTTTATGCTTTTCTTTTAGGTCCCAGTGAAAACTAATAATTGGTATATAAAATTTGTAGAGCTAGAAGTTTAGAATAAGAGTTTATCATCGCAATAGAGGAAATATTGCCAAAGGTGCAAGCCTCCATTACTGGAATCAAGGGGGAATCTTGCTTTATCTTATCTAATTTCCTTTTTCCTTCCTTCCTTCTTTAATTTGACATCTCTCATTGACAACAACTTAGCACCATGAAACTTGGGATGTATATTCAGAAAGTGGAGTTAAGGTTTGAAAGGTCAATATTATCTCCTGCTATTTCAGGCTTCTGGGGGCAAGGGTGGGGTGAAATTATCCCAGTCACCTGTTTTCCTGTTTTGCCTGTAGCTGGGCTCATGCACTCCCACTTGTGCCTAGAATGTGCAAGTTGCTTTCCTTTGAGACTCTCTTTAATGATATCTCCACGGGTAATTGTCTGTTTAATTTACTCTTTCACATCCCTTGCATTTATTCAGTGTCATTACTCTGTGAAGAAGGCCGCATCTTTTTTGGGAATTGGGACACAAAATGTTTACTTCATCAAAAGTGATGAAAGGTAAGGAAATCAAAACCATTGAAATGGTATGCTCCTTTTAAAATGCAGTAGTGCTGTAAGCAAGTAACCTATTTGAACATAACTGAAAAGTTTTAAATCTGTGTCCCATAGAGGTAAGATGATACCTGAGGAACTGGAGAAACAAGTCCAGCGGGCCAGGAAAGAGGTGAGAGGGGGAGAGAGAGTGAGAGCAAGAGTGTGTGTGTGCCTTGTGAAAGTGCTTCGTGCATTTGCATGTGAAAGTGAATGGGAAAAGGGTGAATGACAGTCACAGCAGGGCAGTGTATATATGACAATGCTTTTCTAGGCATAGCCTGTTTGTTACAAATTGTACAGAATTTCATGTGATCGGGTCTCTCAGATTTCCCTTTGTTATCACTCAGAATGAACATGGGTAACGTGCCCCTGAACTATTTTGGAACATCTCATCATCTTTAGCATACTTTTTGATTTCCAAAATTCATAAATTGGCACTAAAAATGACTCCTGCACTAGCATTCTGAACCGTTCTTACTGTGCCTCTTGCTAAGATTACATCTATAATTATGGTTAAATGAAGGAATTTCTCGTTGTGCATCACCTTTAGCAGGACAGTAGGTTATTAAGCAGGGTTTATGCATGGTGGGTATAGCATTTTATCAGATACTTCATTCAATTTGAGCAGATAAAAGGAGTGTGGAGTGAAATTAAACAGAACTATTCATGAACAATAAATCAGCTCTTCTGCTATGAACAAAACAACTATTGACAAGCAAGGAACATTCTCTCCACTATCTAAAGGGATTTTTGGTGATATAATCTTGTTTGACTTGAAAGTGTTTTGCAGTGAAAACAATACTTGACTATTCTTGAAATATGGATATGTTTATCTGTGTTTAATATGGTTTCATTTCCTTGAAATGAAAACTAAAAGCATTTGAAAGGCTCTCTTATCTCATTTAAGCATTTGTAAGTATCTTTGCAGAATGCCATTTTATAACTTAAAGCCATATGCCTGTACAAATTGCAATGGAATCTCCCATGATTGCTTGTATATTTATTCTGGAGGGTGGTTTTCTTTTTATCTGTTATACTAAGCATTCCTTTCCGTTCTGCTAAGCATTCCTTCAGAGATTAAAGGAAAAGACTGGTGTCTGTATTTTCATGGTGTATAAACCAGCCTCCTCAAATCTGGTGCCTTTCAGATGCATTAGACTGCAACTGCCAGCACTCTCCGACTAACATGGCTGACTAAGGAGGCTGGGAATTACAGTCCAGCACATCTGAAGGGTGCTAGATTGGGGGAGACTGCTGTAAACTATATGCTTGAAAGTAGGGCTGTAGATCCAAACATATATAAACATGTGCCTCATGCATCATAATTCCAATCATTATGTTTACATTTGCTCTTCAGACATTAGAGAAAAGACAAGGATTACACACTGCAAATGTGGAGATCTTGCCGTAGGAATGCAAAAATGGTTAGAGTTTATCTTCTGTTAGGCTGCAGTCCTATGGGAATAGGACCCAGTAGTACATAGTTTCAAGTAGATATGCATAAGATTGCACTGTTCATTGGTTTTCCTAAAATGTAAATTTAGTGGAAGAGAAAAAAACCTGTCAGTTTTATGTGCCAAATTAAGGCTCCATGTTTAAATGTTCACTTGTCCCCACAAAGAGTGATCACAGTGTGAAGCAAGTTTACACATTTTTTGGTGTAGCAGAAATAGAAGCTTTGGTTTTGAAACACAAACAGCAATTTAAGAGATGTTTACTTTGGTTCCAGGCTTTGAACAGCAGCAGTTTTGTTACCATTCTTGATGGTACATTTGGGCAGAATGCAGCTGTGTTGTGGGAATCTCATGATGGATTTTCCTGTCTGTATTGTGATGGGTTAGAATGACATCCTAAGACAGAAAAGAGGTTCTTCATTTGCAGCAGTGTGAACACAGAACTCTCCATGAAAAGGATTTCCCATTTACTTCAGTGGTGAAGGACTTTAGTTTAATTTTTTAAGGCAGGCTTCCTTAACTTGGCATCCTCCGGATATTTTGCACTTTTGCTTCCTCAGCCCTTAGCCAATGGGACTAATAGTAGAAATTCTGGGAGTTGGTTTGCAGGGCACCAGGTTGGGAAAGGCGATTTTAGTTTGTCTATCCTGCTTTTCCCAAAATAGTTCCATGGCAGCTTAAAACAAACACATCCAAATACAATAAAAAGGTAAAGGTTTCCCTTTGACGTTATGTCTAGTCATGCCTGACTGTAGGGGGTGGTGCTCATCTCCGTTTCCTAGCCGAGGGAGCCAGCATTTGTCCGCAGACAGTCTCCGTGTTCATGTGGCCGGCATGACTAAACACTGAAGTGCACGGGACGCTGTTACCTGCCCACCGAAGTGGTACCTTTTTATCTATTTGTATTTGCATGCTTTCGAACTGCAAGGTTGGCAGGAGCTGGGATGGCGCAACGGGAACTCACTCCGTTGTGCACATTTGAACCAGTGACCTTTCGATCAACCAGCTCAGCAGCACAGCGGTTTAAACCACTGCGCCACCTGCAGTCCCCCAAATACAATAGAGTGCAATAAAAACAGCAGATAAAAAGCAGTAGATAAAATGACTTACATAAGCCACTGTAGTCAGCTCATAAAAGACAGAGAGCTGAGACTCCAGTACTGTTAAAGGCAGCTGAAGGCTCATGAGAGCAAAATAGACTCTGCCCACCTAGAAGACAGCAGCAATGATGGCATGCAGATATGACTGGGAAGAGGAGAGCTCCATAGTCTGGCTCTACCATGGTAAAGACCTTCACCTTTTAGAAGCAGGGCAGTTGGAGGGAGGACCCTTGAGGATGATAGGCAGGTACACTGAGAGCCAGTGTGGTGTGGTGGTCAGTGTGCTGGACTGGGGGCCTGGGAGATTGGGGTTCCCCACTTGGGGTTACCCGCTCGGCCATGGAGCTTGCCGGGTGACTTTGAGCCACTCACTTACTCTCAGCCTAACCTACCTCACAGTGTTGTTGTGAGGATAAAATGAAACTATGTAAGCTGCTTTGGGTTCCTCCCAAGAGGGAAATAGGCAGGATATAAATGCAGTAAAATAATAATAATAAGGGAGTTTTGTTGATATGTTGGACCCAGGACATCTATTGTGTGGTCCTGTGTATGTTTAAATGTTAAGGCATACCTGGGGGATGCTGGGAGCTGTAGAACCTATTCTTTTCTCAGTATACATAAGAACATAAGAATGGACCAACCAGTCTAGGACTCTGTTCACATGGGGGGAAACCAGTTGTCCTCAGGATCCTTTGAGCAGGAAGGGTACAAGACCTCCATTTGCCCAGGTGGTAGCTGGCAGCTGGTAATGGAGGTGGCCCATAGCCAGCAAGGCCAATAGCCACTGATAGCTTCCTCCTTGATGCATTTTTCCAGTCCCCTTTCAAAGGCACCAAAATTGGTGACCATCACCACTTCCCCGGTAGTGAATTCCATAGTTCATCTATGTGTTGTGTGAAGAAGTACCTCCTTTTATCTGTCCTAAACTTTGTACCAATCCCCTTCATGAAATGGCCCCGTGTTCTAGGATTATGAGAGAGGGAGAACAGTTCCCCCCTTAGGGTTTTAATGGGGAAAAAGCAGCTCTTTGACTTAGTCATAGAAGCAAATTGGCAACTACTGAAGATCTTTTAATAATGGTGACAAGTGATGGTCGTGATTGGCCCCAGTTCAAAATCTGGCCAATACCAGTTCAAAATCTGGCTTCAGCTCAAGCTTTCAGATATATTTCAAAGGCAGTGCATGACAGAGCCTGCATCCCTGCATTGTCTAGAGCTGACCCCTCTAAGCAAAGTCATCTTTTTCCAGAAGAAGTCACGGGACTTTTTTTAAAAAAAATTTAGGCTGTTACTCACAGACTATATTTTTAAATTCACATGAGATTGGATTCCTCCAAAATGGAATGTGGAGAGAAGAGAGGCAGCACAATTTTCTCGTGTGTAAGATGTCATTTTTTTCACTGATGCACGTCAGTATCAGTGAAGCATTGAAAAATATTTTCCAGTGGAAATGTATTTGGCAATCATTTTAGCTGGCTCCAATATTGCATGGCAAAGTGAAAAACAATTTGTGAAATGTACTCTCCCGTTCTCCCCTATCCACCCCCACCAAAGTTAAGCTAAAAACCTATTAAAGTCACATCAAAGCCAACAAAATAAAATCTAGTTTAGTGGGATGTATAAGGATATTCCTCTGGTTGCAGAAGACATTATTTTGTGTTTTGTGTTTGGTATATTAAGTTCATAACTGGAAAGTCACTTTAATCAATAGTTCACTGTAATGAAAATGTCCAGCTGTTCCTTTGGGATGGAAATGTAACTTTACTTAGTATATTTGCTTCAGGCTTTTCAGAAGAGAATATTTCTTATTTTATGAAAATAGGAGTTTAGACATGTACTGTAGATGCATATATTGTTAGCCTTATAGGCAACTCACACACATGCACACACAGAGGGGTTTTTCTTGTTTGCTAAAAATAGATATATAAAATGTCTGAACAAAACTCCCATTCAAAGTTATATTACGTATTTAGATTTATTTTCGGTCCTTCCTCACAGGGAGCCCAGGGTGACTGACAACCCATATATGAACAATACAGCCCGTGAACTCCATTACCAATACATGATGAGATACTTCAAAGCACCAGTATAGAATCAGAAAACATGAAATACTAGCTAACATGGCAGCGGGTCCCTGTCAAAAAAAAAAAAAAAAAAACCTGGTTTAGCCCTGTCAAAAAACCTGTTTTAAAAACTGTCAAATTTCCATACTCCCATAAATGGGATGGCTTGCATTTTTTGGTCAATAACTGTGGGGTGGGAATGGAACAAATCCACAGGGAAAACTGGAAAAATCTGTTGGATTTTCACCCCGCCCCCCAGCAGAATTCTACCTCATCCCATTCATGGCTGGCTGTGGTCAAAATAGGCCTCTTCTACACTTTCTCTCGTGCAGCCATTTAGGTAATAGCACTGAATTATGGTCGGGATGTTGCTTAGGACCAGGACCTTCCTTTCCTCAGGTCCTAGTAATGGTGACTGGCTACCACGGATTCAGGGCACATCCCTGCATGTGACGTCAGTGCAGTTGGGAGATGAGTTTCAACTGTGGAACATGTTCTTTTGGCCTCATCCTCCCCCAGACCTCTTTATAGATTTCTTGCATTCCTGTTTTCTGTGATTGCGTGTGCAGCAGTCAACACGGAGAGCCTCTTTTTTGTCATTCGCATTGGTGGCAAATTCAGTTGCCGATACTTTATGCTTTCCTGGCAAAAGAAATAAGAACTAATTAGGTTATACATGCCGATTCCATGAGAGTTGAGGAGTCTTTACCTTGCTAGGGCAACCTGCTATAGCAGGAGTCATTAGTGTTATCATCCTCAGTGCTGTTGTTGTTAGCATTAGGACCTCTTCTCACTCTGATATTTGAAAAACTAATTTGGGAAGAGTAAATGGAACTATTTCACAGGAAGGCATGGTAACCGTAAGGTGAGTAGTGGAGTCCTACTTAGTTATGCTCCCATCCTTCTCATATCATGAGCTTTCAGAAAGGGGATACTTGAGGCCAAACAACGTGGTTAATTAAATGTCTTGTTCCTATTAGGGTTATTGTGAGGCATCTACAAGAGGTGCTTGTAACAGTGATCACCTCTGATCACTTACTTCCAAGCAAGGCCTATCTTTGTTCACACTTCAAGTGTCTCTACTGCCTTCTCTTGCCCTCTCCACCAGAGCCTCCAATTAACACAGGGCAGGAGAAAGGAGAGATAGGAGGGGATGGGGGAGCTGCCTATTGCCAAGAAAGCGAATGAGGATTACATTCCTTATCTCAGTGGGGAAAAAATGAAAAACAATAAAATTTTCATTTCATGCTGGTCCCCTCCTTGGTGGGAAGGTGATGTTCACCTGAGAAGCTGGATCCTCCTGTCTCCTGTGGCCTTCAGTTTGCTCCAAACGTTTTATGTATATTTGCTTGCCTGAAGTGCTCACAAAATGTTGTCCTTTGTGCTCTTGGAGTGCATGCTACGATACTTCTTTTGGGTAAAAGAGGAACACTCTTACATCCCTAGTTACTGTATGCAGCATGTTTGAAGATGAAATTAAGATCAGCCCTGTTACTTGGGGAACTGGATCAGGAAATGTAGGGGTCAATTAACCCTTTCCTTCTATATAGTGATCCTCAAAATTTACCCTTCCTTCCAAGACAAATTTCAATCTTGGAGGAAGGATTTTTTGGTCAGTTCACAGTAATTAACCTACTTTGGTCTCAATCCTGATACGGTGCATTGTAATAGCTAGTTTGTGTTAAAAATGCAGTCACTTTAAATGCCATTATAAATCCAACATAATAGACTGTCTTTTACAGGACTGTTTCTCTCACCAATCCATAGGTGATTCTTAAATGTTGAAGTATCATGGAAGGTTAGAAAAAGTGAGGCAACTTTCTCTAAGTTCCTTTTTTCTGCTATCAAAAAGCAGCAAGTTGTGAATTGTTCATTTGATTAAATTTTTGCATCTACTTGGGTGGGTGTGTCAGTGTCCATGCCGAAATGTGGATTTTCAGCATTAGGCTGGTCCTGGCATAATGGTCTTTTCCTAAAGAGAATGTAGAGAAAAAGATTTTCAGCAGCATATATGTGAATAGCTCAGGACCAGATCTGATAATACAGAAAAGGGGTATTGATAATTGATAGTTGATGTTTGATAGTCTGATACTGATGTAATTTAGGCCTTTCAATATCTTTGATACAGTACTTCTAAGGACTGGTTCTGTGTAGTTATCTGGGAAGAATGTAAAATGTGGATGATATTAATTCTGTCCTAGTTTCCCAGATTATATTCTATTTAGCATGGAGAATCTGAACAGTGCAAACAATTTCTTTTTTGTTTTGGATCATTCCACAGGGCTCAGCACCATTTTTTGTCAGTGCTACGTCTGGCACCACAGTTTTGGGAGCATTTGATCCTCTGGATGAAATAGCCAATATCTGTGAAAAATATGACCTTTGGCTGCATGTTGATGTAAGTTTGTTTTAATAACATCTGTTCTTTGTTTTGCTTGTAAGTCATTTAGATGATGGATTTTTAAAATTTACTGAAAAATGTACAGTTAAGTTTGCTAATTCAACTAAGGAACTAGATTCCATTTTATTTATTTATTATTAAATCAGTGCATTGTCTTCTAACAATTTCAATGCATCTTTATTTGATGTAATTAAGGTTGAGAAAGAGGTACCTTGGTTTCCATATTGATGCCCAGGACATCACTTTAGGTTTCATTTTTTAAGACTAAGAATATGTTTTTACAGTTAGAAATATTTGAAAATTTGTTGAAGGCAATATTTGGGACTTTTAATATTTTGTTTAATTATCCTGCTATGGGTATCTCATGGGTTTCGTAGAGCCAGATGGGAAAGCATTTTCCCTTGAGGGCAATATTTGGAGGCAAGGCTGTGCTGCTGTTGGTGGGCAGGACCAGAGCATCATCTGCTTTGTTAAGTAATGTAAAGTAGACAGAAAGAGAGTGAGAGAGAGAGAGAGAGAGCTACTCCACACACCTTTTGTCCTCTGTTTGGACCATCCATTCATCCAAACACATTCATATTCAGGTGCGTTTGTACGTGTATCCATCCATCTGCTCTCACCCATCTATCCACACATGGGCCCTTCAATCCAACCATCCATACCAAGGTTAGAGAGATCATTCTGTCCCTTCTCAGACAACTTGCCCAGCTTCTGTAGGTTTCTCTCCATCCTGTGGAGAAATGCTGATGGAGGAAAAGATGATTTGCTCATTTGTCTTCTGTGTTGGATGCCTTTTGAAACCACAGATCCAGCTGGACTCAGGTTTGATCTCACTGTATCTTCCTTGCCCCCATGGAGAAGGAGCCAGTTCTTTCCTGCCTGGATATGATTCCATTTCTCCATTGCTCAGACAATGCTCACTGATCATAGATGGGAAAGAGTTAAGCAGTAGCAGCAGGAAAGGAAGATTTGCAGAATCCCTTTGCTTAGCCGATTCAGTGGTAATACATCTTTTCTTCTCCTCAGCTGCTTCTCACTACATAGTTGAGTAGTGTGGGGAGAATATTTCATCCTAATCATATGAGGAGGGAAGGCTTAAACTGCTCTCCTCCTTGTGATTCCAATGAAACCACCCCCATGTTACTCAGAAAATCTGCAGGGATCAGCTGTGCAGCAGAGAAGGGGAATCTTTAGAGCATTGGGATTCTGCCACTATGGAGTCTGCTCTTTTCTCCAACTGCTCAGCTGATTGATGGGAGGGCACACAGTCAGGGTACATAGAATGAGGCTGCAGGTTCTCCGCTCCTGTCTCAGAGGAAGATGGTCAGACAGTGGACTAGTTCAAAGGCAATCCAGTGTTTCAATACTTATACTGCCTAATCATTTTTCCTGTCAGAAGCATATGCTTACCTTGTTCTTGTATGTGAAGATTTCTCTATTCGGGTCAGTTCATTTTATTGCAGAGGAGAGTCAGTATTGGTATAGGTTAGAGATAATTTACTTTCCCTACTACATATTTTTCTCAAGTATTTTAAATGAATGATATTCTATAATTTTGAATTCTGGAAAATCTTTGCTGCAAATTGTGACATTGCATTGAATTTTCATAGTTTTTTTTTTTTAAACCCAATATTACATAAGATGCCACCCATGACGTATTGTTCCTGATGGACAGAATATTGCAGGTGACAGAATATTTAAAAGGGGATGCCCGAGAGAGTTTGATTTTGTTGTGGTGTTGTTTCAATATGTAGAAGACAGTCAGAGATGCTAATGAAGTTTTCCCAAACCAGGATTAGAAACCAAGGGCTGTCTAAAACCCACCTCAAAACCAAGACTGGCTTTACAAACTCCAAAAGTTTGCTTTACCTCAGATTTTGATCTGAACTGGAAGGATTTCTCCATCTCTCCTGGGAGATTGAGTTCTTCTTGTTAGTGGAGTCATCCCTTCCATTCTTTACCCATTGAAATGGTCAATTCTATGGCAGTTATAGGATTGTAGGCTTTCCTGTAAGCCAAAAAGATTGTGGCCTCTTTAAAGAGAATCAGGTGAGACTGTGTTCAAATAATTGGCGTTCATTATTATTTTTCCATCATGAGACAAGTAGGGGAGCAGAAATCGAAGAACTCTTATGATCTTTCAGTGGGAACAGTGCTAGTAAGGAGGGGAAATTATGTCAGAACAAGCCCTGTGCTATTAAAACTTCTAAAATGTCTTGATTCTGTCAGAAATGGGATGCTTAGCTGATTGACTGAACTTTGATCTTAGATGACTATACTGGTGCTTAGGAATTTAATATCCTAATATTTAGTGAATACTGAGTTAATTATGTTGAAACTGAATTACTTGCTTTCTGTTGCTATGCCAATGGCAATCTTCTTCAGTAATACATAGTTTGTCTACAGGGATTCAGCATAGTTCTGTTTGTTTAACCTTTCACCATTCTAAACTCAAACTTTGTATATTAATTGCAGAAATGCTATTTATGACAAGTGAGTGACTGAATAATTTTAGAATTCTGCTCAGTAGTATTCCTGCAGGATTTCAATGAAGCTGCTTTGCAAAGAAAATTAAGGATAAACATGATAGTTTTGCAAGTTTGTTTTCATTTTAGTTTATAATTCTTGCTGGGAGGAGTTGCCATTGTTGTTGATGAATTAGTGGAGATAAAATGTTGATCTGCTAATTGTGGTATTGTTTTGGAATTTGTGATCTATTGGAGGCTTAGCAAGAGACTTTTTGGAGAGACTTTTTATTTCTTTGGACTACATTATACAGATAACCAAAATATGAATATCTTCTCTAGGATTTTGTATTGGCTGCAGTTGTAGCAGTCATAAGGATGTTATTTGCTTTCCAGTGGAAGAGAAGGCACAGTTCACAATTTCTTTACTAAGCTGGTCCAAGTAATCTCTTTGTGTGTTCAGGTATGTGGAAAATGCCTGGCAGGTATGAAATGATCCCAGATGGATGGATACACACACAATCCTGCAAGGGCACCTCTGCTGCAATTTATCACTTTTTTCTGTTCAAGTGTCCTGAGAAAAAGCTATATGTAAAATGTGCTAAATTTGTAATGGCTGGGGACAGATTCAGATCACCAAATATAGGCTGTTATTTATGGCTTAAGTCCCTACAAAGCAGAAATCTGTTTCTTTTGTGGCTGTTCCATGCTCAGCAATTGTATACCAGCCCTTCTTCCTTCACTACCCAATGACTGTGACCCTCTATCAGTTCTGCTTCTTTTTCTTCCAACACCATTTCTCAGACCTTATGGTCTTGCTTCCTTTGCTCAGAGCTTCTCTTGTTCCTAAACCCCATGTAACACACTTCCTTCAATCTGGCCTTTCACTTCTCTCCTGTATTCTGTTGTCAGCATCCTATTTCTGACAGCTTTTCCTTGTGCAGATCAAATGTTTATGAATAGTCTATGACATCAACATAAGTCTGAAAGTAGCTGTGTGTGCAGACTTGAAGTCTTGTCTGGAACCATTTTGTTCTTCCAGTTGACAGTTATATCAGGATGGAGAAAACCTCTAGAGTTTCTAGGTTCTAGGTTAGGTTTTCTGTTGAAAAGATGCAGCTGATCGAGGGAAGGGAAAATACATTTTCCAGAATTAATTTTGAAGGTTCTTTTTGAGTTTGGTTAATCTCCATGATTATTCAAAGAAATACATTTGCATTTATTCAGCCCCTAATTGATCCAGTTGTATGAACTCATTCTTCCCACTGAAAGAATAACTGTAAAATATTTTCACAGATTTTTCTGTACAGTTTAGGCCAGAGGAGCCATTTCTTTTTGACCCATGGGTACCATGGCACATTTCAAGCACCACCACAAAATGTCTGCAATGGGAGGCATGTCTCGTTGCATAGGAGCCATAATGTGCAGGTGGGGGATGCAAACCCCAAGCACTAAAGAATTCCTTCAACCTCACAATTTTCAGTGCCAGTAGAAATCCACTTCACAGAAGGCAAAATCTTCTGTCAGCAAACACCTTCTGCCTCCTTTTCCCCCATACTTTGGAACACCACCTAAATTCTCTCCTCCACCCTGGCATTAGCACTGTAATCTCTCTTTCTTGCATGCATGCTCACATGTGTGCGTGCACATACGCACGCACACCCATACAAAGTCACCCTGGTGAGTCCCAAGAAAGGTATCCGGGCATACTTCTGCTCCCCGTGCCGTTCTTTAGGCTGTCCCTGGATATGAAGTTCACATATTGCACACACAGCTCAGAGAAGGTACTGCTGTTGCTGACATTATCATTACTGCTCACTTCATCACACCAATTAAATGGGCACTGACTACAGTGACAAACCCTGTAGAAAGCGTATGGGCACTTTCCACAGGAATGTGCTACAAAACTGCCACAAGAGCCCTTGTACTTGTATTTCAGGATACCAGCCAAAATGCATATCCCTTCTTTCCTTTTGTACTTGTCCTGGGTGGCATGATCAGGCGTATCAAGTCACCTAGCCAAAGTGTTTACAATCGCTTTTTGAGGCATTATTAAGTTTCACAATGCTAAACAAGCATTTCCTAATGTTTAATAAATTTCTCTGCAGGCATCATGGGGAGGTTCAGCTTTGCTGTCAAGGAAGCATCGCAAGCTTCTGCATGGCATTCACAGGTACAGGAAGTTTACCTTGAAAGGGGTAGCTATTTAAGAAACAAACATAAGCATTTAAAACTTTCGCTGATTTCCATGAGATGCCTACTCTTTCCCATTCAAGCAAGCTGTGGATAAAGTACTTCGTTCTAGCTAGTTTGTGTGCCTGTTTAGATTGTACATTCTAAGAATGATTTTTTGTTTGCTTGCTTGTTCGAACTGAAGGAGTTTTGAAAAGGAAATGGAGGAAAATCTAGTCTACTGAATGAGTTTACCAAATGGGTGTTAACCATTGAACAGGATAACTACAGGATGATATTTTGGTTTTCTTCTGCTCATTACAGGGCCAATTCTGTGGCATGGAATCCTCATAAGATGCTCATGGCAGGGATCCAGTGTTGTGCTCTTCTGGTGAAAGACAATTCTGTAAGTTGTTTTTTAAATTTTCCAAGTGTGACCGGAGTGGGCTTCTGCCATATTTTGACAATGCAGAATATGACTAGTGACTGCTTAGCCGTTGTTGTGAACCACCCAGATCTGTTGTGAATTGCTGTTGTGAACTATCCAAAGAACTTTGGCTGTTGGGCAGTATAGAAAGTAAATAAATAATAGCATTCCAAATGAAAAGTATAGATCCCCCCACAAAAAAAAAAAAAAAATCTAGATGAGGTATAAGGTGCTGACCAGAAATAAAATCTATGTGAATCCGCTGGGATTTCTGCAAAATTACACTGATGGGCTTGGATCCAGACTTGGAGCACAGTCTAGTGGAGCTGCTGTCCAGTCTCAGAGGACTCCAGACATCCTATAAATCTGCGCAAAGTGGAAGAAGTATGGTGGGGTGGTCACTTCCATACTTCTCCCTCTCTGTAGAGCAGCTGATTTTGATTGTCTAACTGCATGCTTTGGAGGGGATGTGAAGGAGGCTGAGGTATCGCCTTGCATTGGTCCCCTCCTCTCCCCTCCTGATTCCGTAACCGCTTCTTTGTGGTTTTTCTTTTCCAACCTTGAATATGGGGTCTTTTTTCCATGCTGGTTGCTGGGGGTGAGGAAAAGAGGGTGTTCTGAGTTTGGAACCCCAATTCTAAGGGTGGAATTGATTTGCAACCTTGGAGCTGGGTCTCCAAATAATTCTTTGGCCCTCTAGACACTGTTGAGGTGCCTTAGGATCACTCTTCCCTTCATAATTAGCAATCAAGCTAAGTGACTTAATCCCATTGATTTCAATGGATTTATTTCAAGCATGAAGTCTGGATGCAGCCCATATATTTTAATATTTGCAAAACAGCTTGCTTAAGAGGAAGAGCAGACGCACCCATTCCTTAAAAGACAGCGACCTTCTAAAAATTGAAAGTCCAGTTTTATTTGTTTGTCTTTAAGATTTTATAGTTCAGTGGGGAAGAGATGGAAAAAGAGAGTTACATGTGAATGCCCAAAAGTTTCTTTACAATTATCTATAAAAACAGGTTTTAAATGTTGTTGTATTTTAACTTGTAGGGAAACTTATTAAAAGAAGCATCAAGTGGTATTAATCAGGTTGGAAAATGTATCATATTTTAAAATAATGTAATAGAAAATATTCGTTATGTGAAGCCGGGAAAAGTGACTTTCTTGCATAGGGTGGAAATGCCCAACAGCTACATCATAATTGCAGAAAGTATAAAAGAAATGAGTGGGTATGTATTAGCTCTTGATCCTCTCATTTATCTTCTTAATTATGTTAAGAGATTTATTTCAAAAGAACATGAAATTCTTAACATGATGATTTACTGCAAGAGTGTGTCTTATCATGCCTTATTTTTCTCTGCCTTTTCTCTTCCTTTCCCTCTTCAGTCATTTGTTACTTTTCCCTTTGCCTCTCTGTTGATCCTCACGTTATCCTTTTCTATATTTAGACTGCATTTCCTTGAAACTGTGACTTACCTTTTGCTTACATTACTCTGTAAAAGCCATGTACATTGATAGCGTACAGATGGCAGAAGAAAATCGATCAGCACTAATCTGAGGGAAAATGATAAGCTTCAAATTCATGGGTTCTTGAAGTAGTTGGGTTAGATCAAGACAGCGAGAGCAATTTTATGGTCCCTAAAAGGGTCCCAGCATCCCATAGGATTGTCCTTTCAGTTGTGCATAGAACAGATTCATTGAAATAAATCGAACTGAAAGTAATTATAATGTGCCTCACTGATGTCAGTGGGTTTACACTAAATGTAGTGAATGTTATTGCCATTGAAATGGTATTTTACCATTATCCCTCAGGTTTAAGCTGATTAGTTCCATGTATAGATCCACCCAATACAGACTAAAAAGATATACAGTTTGAAATTTCTTGGAGATATCATTCTTCTCACATGGATTTTCTGCAAGCATTCTTTGCCAACCATTGATAGTAAAGATAGCTCTTTGTTGTGAAATCACAAACTTCTACTAGCCCCCATTGACAAAAGGGGGTGATCACATTCCACATGATGCTGCAAGAAGGCCACTTCAAAGACACTTTTCACTTCAAAGAAATGGAACGTTTTTGCCCTTTTTTATGTATTTCTTAAAAATGCTGAAATGGGACTCCTTTTTCAAAGGAGGGAATTGTTCAGGAAAAGGGCCCCCACTTTACCTTGGCAGCAGTAATTTCATATCATTTGATCCATGAATTTTGTCTGTCCATTGTTTGAAAAACATAGTTACTAAGAAGGTCTGAAAATAACATTGAACATTTACTAGCAGCAAAAAATATCAATACCAAAAGGTTATAAGCACATCAGTTCTGGAGGGAATGAAAAGATTATGAACAGTCATTTTGTTGTCAAAATGAAGATATTAGCGACTACTGTAACAAAGTTTGCAATGATTAAATTGAAAAAAGTTTTTCTTTACATAACTGAACAATATATTTCAGGATAATGCTCAGTCCTGTGCTTTATGTTCAAGATGATTGTTTTCATAACTATTTTTAAAAAATAGATTAGGAAGTATTCTCTTTCCCCTATGTTCCAAAATGATCTAAAGCCAGTTGCACAATTTTAAATAGCTTTTGATCAAATTTGGTCAAAGTATGTATTAGAATTTGCATTTCCTTTTGCAAATCTAGGTGTCGTCTCCAAACAGTGTGCAGTGCTGGATGTCCACATGTGAGGTCCACAGTTGCTTTCATTCCATATGTTACCAGCTTTACTTAAGCCAAAGGGCAAGCTGCATTCCCTGCTTGCCAAATGGATATTTGGCACTTCCAGGGTCAAGCTTTGGAACAAGTAGAATTGCTCACTTCGGGAAAGGAGCAGGTTGGTAGAGTTCTGCTGGCTTGCCCTTTTCTAGAAACAAAGTTTTCCTCGGAAGTGCCAAATCTTTATTCTGCCAGTGGTGGACACTTGTTGTGGAACAGAATCCATGGGCTGCATGTAAGTGGTCACCAGTGTTTCTTTGTCCAGTGTTTCCTTGTGCTATCTGATGTTTTGTTATTTTGTTTCTCCATATTTTGGTGATTCATGGGGATGGAAGCGGAGGTGGCAATGCAATTTTATGCATGTCTGGTCAGATATAAGTTGCATCAAGTTCAGTGGAACTTATTCTAGGCAAGTTTAGAATGGGATTGAAGTCTAAACATATTGGTGAATAGAAGGATGCCTGAAATGTATATGACTTGGGGAAAAAGCTACAAGATCTGTTCGAATATCTTTGAACTAACAGAAGTGGGAGGTTGTCATTTGTGAGAGAGGGAAAGTGATTGAGATGGGAAAACATTTGGATTGGAAAGACTCGGAGATTAGTAAATCCATTGTAAAAGTGCAAATCAGTCAAAGCAATTGGTAGGCATCTTTTTACATTGACAAGACGTTCTGAGGAAGAGTGCAATGGCTCCCATGATGCCTTGTTATAAAAAATCTTTTCCTAAATGAACTATGCCTGTTGAACTCGTCAGCCTACAGAGAACAGTAACAGTAACAGAGTACATTGCTAAATATCATAATCTGATCATTGTCAGCTCTTTCATATCATATTTTTTGAATCAGCTTCCATTAGGAATTCATCAGGTTTCTTCTTTGCAGGTATGTCAGAAGGCTTTGAAAACCAAATTGTTTTCAGTGGCTTTACCATACTCTGTTAACTGCAGCTTTTATTGGTGTTATCTCTTTTGAAAATGTTCTTTAGTATTTGTGGAATGACTTATTCTATACTTTCATTTTATTTTTATAGCATCCTCCACCTTGAGGGAGCTCTACCCTTAAAGGATGACCCAAAATACTTAAAATATATCAATTTAAATAACCATCTTTTAGGGTTCCTGTACCTGCAGGGGTCTGTTCGGCAGGCACATTTGAAAGGCCTTTTTCTTGTATTGCTCCCATTTACTGAATGTGTGATCTCAGGAAGAGGCCTCAAGAGACGTCTTTAGAGGGGGTGGGAAAATGCATCTCTGGCTGAATCTTTCACTACAAACCATTTTTAAGGTTTTAATGTTTTTTATTCTTTTAATAGTCTTATTTTTACAGTTGAAGGGTTTTTTCATTTTACATTCTTGTACACCACCTTGATAGCTGTTTAGCTGATACAGCAGTATTTAAGTCTTAAACTAATAAATAATACTGGTGAGAATGACAGCAGTCTTATCAGCAGATCAACTCTAGTAGAGAAGAGTCAAATTCTGCACCGACAAAAACTTTTTTGCAAGCCTTTTGAAACTCTTATGTACTCCTGACATCACGTGAGGGTAGTTCCTGTTATGTGCTGTCAGTTCAGCTCCAACATATGGAAACCCTATGAATGATTCCCCTCCAAAATGTCCAGCCCATGCTCAGCTCTTGTAAACTCATCTGGAGAACCTTGGCTTATTTCGACCCTGTTTTGACCTCGGTGTTGGAATGTTGAGGGCCAAGGTTGCCCCTCACTGCAGCTGGCACAGAAAGAACCCTGCCAGCTGCTTCCCTAAGGTCAGAAATAAGTCTCAGAAAGGCCAAAAGGGTACTTAAGGATAAGGAGAAGAGGAGACGGAGGCCAATGACTATTGCCATATCCAAATGGTATCCCCATCCTCCTCCTTTCCCCCCTCTGTGCTGCTTCATGAAGAAGACTAAAAGCAAACATCTATACGAAAAGCAGAGTGTGAAACTCAGTGATAGCAAAGATTACAGCTGTTGTGCTTTACTCCATACTTTTGATGCACACGATCCTTAGCTGGCTGCTGCCAGATTCAACCTAAATATGAAATTCCTGGATTGTTGTTGTTCAGTTGCAAAGTCGTGCCTGACTCTTCGCAACACCATGGATAACATTCTTCCAGGTTCTCCTGTCCTCCACTATCCCCCGGAATACACCTGACCTCACACCCACCTCTCCAGTGACTCCATCCAGCCACTTCAACCTCTGCCATCCCCATCTCCTTTTGTCTTCAGTCCTTCCCAGCATCAGGGTCTTTTCCAATGTGTCCTTCC